AACAACCTTATGCTGAATGATAGTTGGGTCAAGGAGGAGATAAAGGAGGAAAATATTAAATTCCTCCAATATAACAATAATGAAACCACAAGCTACCAAAAGATACTGCAAAAGCAATCCTAAGAGGAAAATTTATTGCATTAGACACCTACATCTGAAAAACAGAAAGAGAGCACATCAACAGTCTAATGAAGCATCTCAAGGAAATGGAAAAGGACGAGCAATCCAATACCAAACCTAGCAGAAGAAAAGAAATAACCAAAATTAAACCAGAAATAAATGGAATTGAAAACAAAAGAATCATTCATAAAATTAATGAAACAAAAAGGTGTTTCTTCAAAAAGATAAACAAAATCTACAAACCTTTGACCAGATTAACCTGAAACAAAAAAATAAAATCTCTAACTACCTCAGTCAGAAATGAAAAAGGATCAATAACAACATATACCACAGAGACACAAGAGATTATGTCTGACTAGTACAAAAAACTCTATGCCCAGAAATTTGACAATGTGGAGGAAATGGACCAATACCTGAAATCATACCATCTCCCTAGACTTAACCAGGAAGAAATAGATCTCTTGAACAGACCAATATCAAGCACTGAAATTGAAGAAACAATAAAGAATATTACAACAAAAAAGCCCTGGACTAGATGGCTTCATGTCAGAATTCTATCAAACCTTCAAAAAAGAGTTTGTACCTATACAGCAGAATCTATTTGAGAACATTGGGAAGAAAGGAGTCTTCTCTAACATGTTCTATGAAGCAAACATCACCCTAATACCAAAACCAAGAAAGGACCCAGCTAAAAAGGAGAACTATAGATCAATTTCACTAATGAATATAGATGCAAAAATATTGAATAAAATCTTAGCAAATAGATTATAGCTACATATGTTAAAAAATTTATACATCATGATCAAGTAGACTCTATCCCAGGGATGCAAGGCTGCTTTAACATACACAAATTCATAAATGTAATTCACCATAGAAATAGAATCAAAAACAAAATCCATATGATCCCCTCAGTAGATGCAGAAAAAGCATTTGACAAAATACAGCATCCTTTTTAAATAAGAATACTTAAGAAAATAAGCATAGAAGGCACATTTTTTAAACTGATTGAAGCCATCTATGACAGATCCAAAGCCAATATCATACTGAATGGAGTAAAACTGAAAGATTTTTTTTATGGCCAAATAATATTCTGTTGTGTATATATGCCACACTTTCTTTTTAAATTCATCCGTTGATGGGTTGAATCCATTGATGGATTCAACCAAGATAGGTTGATTCCCTATCTTGGCTATTTTGAATAGTGCTGCAATAAATGTGAGGGTGCAGGTGTCTCTTTGACATACTGATTGCCTTCTTTTGGATATATATCCCAGCAGTAAGATTGCTGAATCATATTATACCATTCTATTTTTAGTTTTTTGAGGACCTTCTATATTGTTTTTTATAATGTATAATGTCTACACTATTTTGCATTACTACCAACAGTGTATGAACATTCCTCTTTTTCCACATCCTTATTTGCATTTATTATTTTTTGTCTTTTTAATAATAGCCATTCTTACTAGGGTCAGATGATATGTCAGTGTGGTTTTGATTTGCATTTCCCTGATGATTAGTGATGTTGAGCATTTCTTCATATACCTATTGGTTTGTATGTCTTCTTTTGAGAAATATCTATTTAGGTTTTTTGCCCTTTTTAGAAATCAGATTATTTGTGTTTTTGATATTGAGTTATTTGAGTTCCTTATTTATTTTGAGTTCCTTACATATTCTTCAAATGGAGCATTTTAAATATTTTCTCCCATTTTGTAGGCTATCTCTTCACTTTGTTAATTATTTCCTTTGCTGGGTAGAAGTTTCTTAGCTTGTTGTAATCCCAGTTATCTATTCTTGCTTTCATTGCCTGTGCCTTTGAAGTCTTACCCAAAAAGTCTTTGCCCAGACCAATGTTCTATAGCATTTCCCCAATGTCTTCTTCTAGGAATTTTATAGTTTGGGTCTTATATTTAAGTACTTAATCCATTTTGAGTTGACTTTTATATATGGTGAAGGATGGGGATCTAGTTTCATTCTTCTGCATATGGACGTCCAGTTTTCCCAGCACCATTTGTTGAAGAGCATGCTTCCCCACTGTATGCTCCTGGTCACTTTGTTGAAAATGTGTTGGCTGTGTGTGGATTTATTTCTGGGTTCTCTATTCTGTTTCATTGGTCCATGTGTCTGTTTTTATGCCAGTACCATGCTCTTTTGGTTCCTATAGATTTGAAGTATAATTTGAAGTCAGATGTGATGCTTTCAGATTTTTTTCTTTTTGATCAGGATTTCTTTGGGTATGCAGGGTCTTTTGTGATTTTATGTGAATTTTAGGATTGTTTTTATGTATTCTATGAAGAATACATTTGGTATTTTGATAAGAATTACATTGATTCTGTAGATCATTTTAGGTAGCATGGTCATTTTAACAATATTAATTCTTCCAATTTATAGAATAGGATATTTTTCCATTTTTTGTGTCTTTATTTCATCATTTTATAGTTTTCCTTATAAAGATCTTTAATTCTTTTGATTAAGTTTATTCCTACATAATTTTTGGGAGGTAGTTATTATATCCTATATGAGATTGTTTTCTTGATTTCTTTATCAGTTTGATTGCTATTAGTATATCGGAATGCTTCTGATTTTTGTATGTTCATTTTGTAACCTGCAATTTTACTGAATTCATTGATTAGTTCTAGAAATTGTTTGGTGGAATCTTTAGGTTTTTCTAAATATTGGATCATGTTGTCTGCAAACAAGGATAATTTGAGTAATTTCTTTCCAACTTAGATGCTCTTTATGTCTTTCTCTTACCTAACTGCTCTGGCTAGAACTTCCAGTATTATGTTGGATAAAAATGTGGTAAAATAGTTAGCATTCTTGTCTTGCTGAAAATCTTAGTGGAAAGGCTTTTAATTTTTCCCCATTTAGTAAGATGTTAACTGTGGGTTTGCAATGTATGGCCTTTATCATGTTGAGGGAGGTTCCTTCTATACATAATTCATTGAGGGCTTTTTATCATGAAGAGATGTTGAATTTAATCAAATACTTCTTCAGCATCTATTGAAATGATTATATGGTTTTTGTCCTTGGTTCAGTTGATGTGATTTATTACATTCATTGATTTGCATATGTTGAACCATCCTTGCATCCTGTATCCTTGCATTCCCACTTGATCATGGTGAGTGATTTTTTAAAAAATATGGAATCTTGCTCCTTTGCCCTGAGCAGTGGCATCATCATAACTCATTGAATCTGCAGACTGTTGGGCTCAAGCAATCTTCCTGTCTCAGCCTCCTGAGTAGCTGGGAGTATAGGTGCCTGGCTAGTTTTTCTATTTTTAGTAGAGATGGGGTCTTACTCTTTTTCCTGAGCTCAAGCAGTCCTCCCACCTTGGCCTCCCAGAGTGTTAGGATGACAGGCATGGCCACCGTACACAGCCAACAAATGATCTTAATGTGTTGTTGAATCTGGTCTGGTAGTTATTCTATTGGAGATTTTTGCAACTATGTTCATCAGGAATATTGGTCTATAGTTTTCTTTTCATATTGTGTCCTCATCAAGTTTGGTATGAGGGTTGGAACATGTCCTTAAAGGTAGAAATCAGTCTCTCCCTTCCTACTCCTTCTTTATTCTTGGTGCCTGAAGGTGGATATGATAGCTGTGGCTTCAGAGCTTTTTTGAACCATGAAGTAGATGCTACATGTTGAGAATGGCAGAGCACTGAGATAAAAGGAGGGAACCCAGGTGACCATGGAGCTGCCATACTAGTCCTATATTGCCTACCTTCAGGCTTGATTTACCTGGTAACTTGTTTAAGCCACTGTTATTTTATGTTTTTTGCATCTAAGAGCTAAATTTAATCTTTATTGGTAGTCCACTTCTATGCAGCCCTTAGATGATGTCAGGAAAACTGACATCATCTCTAACTCTAGGGATGAATTTTTATAATCTATTGGATCCTATCCTTCTCACAATTGATACAGGAATGGCCATGTAGCCCTTTTGGACCAATGACACTTGAGGAGAATTTTGTTGGAGTGGATCAGAAAGTTCTTTGTTCTTCTGGAAGAGTTTCCCAGAGTAGCAATCCTTTTTTCCTCAGATGGACACTTTTGTGCATGGATAGGGTGGGTGGAATTGTTGCAGCTTACTGTCAGCCTGGAGATGAGGCCACACATGGAAAAGAGCAGAGCCAAGAGAATCACAGGGACATTGAACTTGAGCCAAGTCAGTTGTGAAGCCCACCCTACATCTGAACTTTCAGTTATGTCAATAATTTTCCTTATTGCTTAAGACAAAAATAGATTCAAATTATAAGAATAGCACAATAGTAAAAGTATGAGCTCTAGAGTCAGATGACCTGGATGTGATTCCCAAGTATGCCATTTCTTAGCCATAATATGTGGATAATAAATAAAGGCATGTTGAAATAATCCATGTAATATACTTAGCACAAGCTCTGGCACATAAAGGGCATTCAGAATATGCTATTATTGTTAGCGGTATTAGAATTCAGATTGGTGAGAAAAGTATGAGCTATTTAAAAACTCATGTTGGGTCAAATAGCTAGTTACTCAGAGAAAAGAAAAATGCCATTCTAATAAACAAATTCAAATTAGAGAGGATATTTGGAAAACAATAATAAAATAAGCTACAAGTGAATTTCTAATCTCAAAGTAAGAGATACTTTTAAAAGTATGAAATAGAAGGCATACACTATGAAGGAAGGTAAAAATAGTTTTAAATATATAAAATTTGAAAAGCATCAGTGTACTAGAAACGCCTGCCATGGCCTTCCTGCCCCCACCCGCTTCAAAGAGACTTTGTCTTTCTGGCCATACAAGGTTGGCCCACTAATAGCTAATGTGCACACTGGCTTGAACACACATCATGGTTTCTCTTTTACTCATTTTGTATTTTCTTTAAAACATAGAACACTTCATGAATTTGGATACTTCATGATTAGATGTGGTCCTTATGCAGGGGCCACACTACTCTTCTCTATATTGCTCCCATTTTATTATATGTGTTACCAAAATGAACACATAATCTCTCTTTTAAGAAACTGAAATAAGTGACCCAATGACTCTTGATTGCAGCTGTTGGATTTTAAGCCAAAATGTCACATAAGGTTGGGACTAGGGTAGCCATTTCCAGATAAGTAAGCAGAGATAAACAGGAACATGGAGCAACACAAACAATGGAGCTAACCTTTATTTCTCATGCGGCCACTCTCAAGTCAAAAGGCTAAATAATTGCTGAGCGTTGCAAGGTTCATTAGTGGGAGTACCAGGATTCAACCAGAATTCAAATTTGACTGTAGGGGCCCACGCTTCCAAGCACTCAGTGGTATTTCTTCTGTAGAAGCCACTGTTTTTTATATGTGTCAAATCCAGCTCTTCCTACATTGGGGAAGATTTTCTCTGCTTTGACAGTCAAGTCCAAAATTAGGCAAAATTTATGAATAGCAGCATTATTTTCACTTCTAAACTGACAGATAAGGGTACCCAGAAATAGATAGGGCTGGTCACTCTTTGTCTCTTTGTATCCATTTCCTAGGGCTGCTGTAACAAATTACCACACACTTGATAGTTTAAGACACCAGAAATGTGTTCTGTCATAGCTCTGGAAACCAGAAGTCCAAACCTAGAGTATCAGCCTGGCTGTGTTGCCTAGGAAGGCTCCAGCAGAGAATCTTGTCCTTGTCTCTTCCAGCTTCTTGTCTGTTGGCAGATTATGGTGTTCCAATCTCTACTTCCATCTTCATATCACTTTCTTTTCTTCTGTCTGTGTCTTTTACTCTTCTTTTTTTTTGAGACAGAGCCTCAAGCTATTCCCTTGGGTAGAGTGCCGTGGCATCACAGCTCACAGCAACCTCAACTCCTGGGCTCAAGCGAGTCTCTTGCCTCCCAAGTAGCTGGGACCACAGATGCCCACCACAACGCCTAGCTATTTTTTGGTTGCAGCCATCATTGTTGTTTTGGTGGACCTGGGCTGGATTTGAACCCGCTACTTTAGGTGTATGGGGCTGGTGCCTTAGCCACTTGAGCCACAGGCACTGAGCCAATCTTTTACTCTTCTTATAAGGATACTTATCATTGGGTTTAGGTCTCCTCAGATAATCTGGGATGATTTCATCTTGAGATCTTAATTTAATTACATCTGCAAGGACTTTATGTGTGTTCCTATAAGGCCATGTTCACAGGTTCCAGCTGGATATACCTTTTGGTGTGGTGCTACCTTTCAGCCCATTACACCCTCCTAGATGACAATAAAGCTATTAACCGTGGCATTTAATATGTTTGTCCAGATGACAACAGAGATGGCAGAAGCAAGAGACCACAAGAAATTATAGACTGAATCCCTGAAGCAGTCATTTTTGTACTGGTCACAGAAGTTCGTGCATCACATTTCCTGTCCTTATTTATGCTCAAGGGACAAAGAAAGATCCCTGTTGGTTTTTTAGGAGAGAAGGAGAAGATAAGAGAAGAGAGAAAGGGAAAGCAGAAGAAAGGAGAGAGGTAGGGAAGGAGCCAGACATGGCAGAAGATTGCCTGAAAAATTAATGACATAGATACACGGCTTCAGAAATGTTTATAAGTGGTGGGGAAAAGTACTGAATTGTTTATGCAAGGGTAAGGATTGGAAAAAACTACTGAAAAATTATTAGTCTTTGGTATGAAGATTGTATATGTGGTACACTGTAACGTAACTGTCTATGACTGTAGTTGCTGTTGACGTTCATTGTGACAATATTTTGTCTTTCAGATCTTGTGATTTGCCATGGATTTGTAAACCCTTAAGGAAGTTCTCAAATTCAGTGCACATAAGGACCGTGTGTAGGGCCTGTTAGCCTCAAGATTTGCACTCCCTCTTGTCTTCTAGTTCTTCTAGTCTGTGTTTTGGAGTGAAGGGCTTTGCTGAATGGTTCAGCAGGAAAGAGCAGCTTTGTCCAAAAGCCTTATTTATGTTGGGTTCTGAGAGTAAGTGTGGGAACAGGAAAGGCATGGCAGCATAAGATGGTTGCACCTCAGATAGGAACTGTGGGAAGAAATGAAGAGGGAAGGCTTTTAAAAGCAAGGGCCTGAAGTTCCATAATTCACTAGATTATGAGTTATTAAGTCTCTTTAAAGCCCAAACACAAATGACTTGAGAAAACATGTGCCCCAAATCTAAACTGGATATTCAGGTGAAGAGAGACATTGTACTAGCCAGGAAACTCTACCTGGAGGAGGTAATTTCGGAACTCTGTTTCTATGAAAGAATGTGCATGAAAGGCCATAGAGGTGGATGTTGTACAGACATTAGCGTCAGGAATGAGTGAGTTAGGTAAGGAGAAGCTGATAGGACAAGAAAATTCACAGCAAAGTTCTGTATTTTCTCCTTTACAAAAGCATAGACTTAGAAGCACTTATCCAAAGCTCTTAAGGCTAGATGCATTATGGAATTCCAAATTACTTTTGGGTTTAATTTAATTTATTTTTATTTTATTATTATTTTTTAAGACAGAGCCTCATTGTTTTTTAAGACTGTCACCCTGGGCAGAGTGCCGTGGCATTACAACTCACAGCCACCCCCAATTCCTGGGCTTAAGTGATTTGATTCTCTTGCCTCAGCCTCCCAAGTAGCTGGGATTACAGTCACCCACCACAACACCTGGCTAGTTTTTGGTTGTAGTTGTCATTGTTGTTTGGCAGGCCCAGGCTAGATTTGAACCTACCAGCTCTGGTGTATGTGGCTGGTGTCTTAGCCACTTGAGCTACAGGTATTGACCCTATTTTGGGGTTTTAAATGGTAGTATGGGGCACATACTCTATGTTGCCTCATACTTGCAAGTAGAGTCTGGGAAGGCATCTTGTAAGAAAACAAGTTATTATTTCTGTGCTAAAACATTTGAATATTCACACTGACATAAAGAAAGGTTTCTATGTTTCTAGTAGCCTCTCTCAGTTCAGGTTAAATTATTTTTGTAGAACTAATTATGAAAAGAAAATCCTTAGTTTTCAGAGCTTTAATATTTTTTTCTTCTATTGTTTTGCCCCATAGCTTTTTGGATTTTGAAATTGTAGAGGATTGTAAACTAGTCTAGACTCACTAAAGGAAAACTGGGACATATCAAAAAGCAGAAAAAAAAAAAAAGAAGAGAAGATTAAAACCTCTCCCAGGTTCTCATTATTCCCAGGCAACCTTAGTATATATAATTAAAGTACAATTCCTATTCATAAGTACTGGTCTTCAACATTTCTCATATAACGCTAATTAGTTTGTATGGGGAAATCTCTACATTCAAGTCTAGTTAAAATATATTTAGAAATTTCAGAAAGTTGAGGGCTGGGTGTGGTGGCTCACACCTGTGATCCTAGCACTCTGAGAGGCTGAGGCAGGTAGATTGCTTGAACTCAGGAGTTTGAGACCAGCCTGAGTAAGAGCGAGACCCTGTCTCTTCTAAAAATAGAAGAGCTAGTCAGATAGAGGCTGGGAGTTGTGGCTCATGCCTATAATCCTAGCACTCTGGGAGGCTAAGGCAGGCAGATTACTTGAGCTCAGAAGTTCGACACCAGCCTGAGGAAAATCAAGACCCCTGTCCCTAGTTAAAAAAAAAAAAAAAAGGAAAACTGAGGCAAGAGGATTGGTTGAGCCCAGGAGTTGGAGGTTGCTATGAACTAAGATGATGCCATGGCACTCTACCCAGAGTGACAGCTTGAGATTCTGTTTCCAAAAAGAAAAAAAAATAAAGAAAAGATAGTTGGGTGTTGTGGTAAGTGCCTATAATCCTAGCTACTCAGGAGGCTGAGGCAGGAGGATTGCATGAGCCCAGGAGTTTGAGGTTGCTGTGAGCTAGGCTGATGTGATGGCACAGTAGTCTGAGCAACAGAGTGAGACTCTCAAAAAACTAAAAACAAAACCAAAAAAACCCCTTTTCCCCAGAAAGTTGAAAGGGGCAGAGTGCCTTTAAAAAATCCAGATTTTTATTTTTCATAAAAAGGTTCTGTGAGTCCAAAGGCCTGGTTGAAGTGGAATAAATCATTTGTAACAGGACATTAAAATTTGAATTTTCCTACTTTAGTTTTAGCTGAGATTCAAAGGCTGAGAACACCACCCTAACTGGCAAATGCCTCCATATTCTGAAGAGAAGTTTCAGA